GGTCCTGGGATCGAGTCCCACATCGGGCTCCCTGCTCGGCAAGAAGCCTGCTTCTCCCTCTCCCATTCCCCCTGCTTGTGTTACTGCTCTCGCTATCTCTCTCTCTGTCAAATAAATAAATAAAATCTTTAAAAAAAAAAAAAATGACATTTCCCTTTTATTTTTTTTTAAGATTATTTATTTGAGAGAAAGAGAGTGCAAGCAAGCGGAGGGGGGCAGAGGAAAAGAATCTCAAGCAGACTCCCTGCTGAGTGTGGAGCCCCAACATGGGGCTTGAAATGGGGCTGGATGCAGGGTTCAATCTCTTGATCCTGAGATCTTGATCAGAGCCGAAATCAAGAGTCACACACTCACCTGACTGAGCCACCCAGGCACCCCTGACATTTCCCATTTAAAGAGGGCAGGACAGGGGGCGTGTAGGTGGTTGAGTCAGTTAAGTGTCTGCCTATGCCTCAGGTCATGATCCCAGGGTCCTGTGATTGAGCCCTGTATCAGGGGCTGAGCAGGGAGCATCTCCCTCTCCTGCTCCCCCTACTTGTGCTCTCTCTCTCTCTCTGTCATATAAATAAATAAAATCTTTGAAAAAAAAAAAAAGAGGACAGGACAGTTTTCTTGTAGAATGTCCTATATACTGAAATTGTCAGATGTGCTAAAGTTTAAACAGTGTTATTTATATTCCTCATGATAAAGACAAATCTAGGCTATGAAAAATTAGCCTTTCAGAAACTAAAATATTTTGCTTAGTAGGTGTTTACTTAGCTTTACTCCCAACTTCTAAATTCCTGTTTGTTCCACATGTTTATTATCAATCTGTTATTTTGGATATGAGAGCTCCCAAAGTAATTAAATGATGATCTTTACCTTTGACATCTGGGTGTCCTTGTACTTTATCCAGGTTCATCAGGGTGTCAAAGGATTTGTCCTAGATGCCACGGATGGCAGGGGTATATTAAATGCCACGATTAGTGTTGCTGAAATTAATCACCCAGTGACTACCTACAAAACTGGAGATTACTGGCGTCTCTTGGTTCCAGGAACTTACAAAATCACAGCATCTGCTCGAGGGTGAGTGACTGAATACCTTGATATTAAGTGCTTGAGGAAAGACAAACATGGTTCTATTCTAGACAATTATTGTCATAAAGCCCTAGAAAAGTCAAGCAACCTTGAGTTTAATGCTGGGAAGTTTAGAGCTGGTTACACATTTGATTCTCCTCCAGTGATAAAGTGAGTACATAAACTGTCAGATTTAAGAAATCTATGAAATTCTGCCCTTTGAACAGTGGCCTCCTCCTCTCAGGTCCTCTGCGCCCTGTCCAGATGTAAAGCTGTAGTGAGTGATTCCTTCACTAGCTGGTAACAATTCTGGGAAGTACCTGTTAGTTGGGAAAAAAGGACTCCTGTTGTGCTGCATACTTCTAGTTATGTTGTCCAATAAATACCACCACTTTACATTTGTTCCTTTTTAAAGTTTTCTCACACTTTTTTTTTCCTATCCTCACCTAAACCATTCTTTTTTTATTTAAAAAATGTTTTTAATATGTGTATAGTTGACACCCAATGTTATGTTAGTTTCAGGTGTACAGCCTAGTGATTCAACAAGTCTATACGTTACGCTCTGTTCACAAATGCAGCTAGTATCGGTCACCATACAATGCTATTACAGTATCATTGACTGTATTTCCTGTTCTGTAACTTTCATCCCTGTGACTTATTCATTCCGTAAATGGAAGCCCATACCTCCCACTCCCCTTCACCCATTCTGCCCACCCACGCCCCTTGCAACCATGTGTCTGTTTCTGCTTTTTGTTTGTTCATTCATTTGTTTTCTGAGATTCCGTATCTAAGTTAAATCATATGGTATTTGCCTTTCTCAGTCTGACTTATTTCACTGAGTATATTACCCTCTAAGTCCATCATGTTGTTGTAAGTGTCATGATCTCATCTTTTTTATGGCTGCATAGTATTCCATTGTGTATGTACACCACACCTTCCTTATCCATTAGTCTATCGATGGACACTTAGGTTGTTTCCATATCTTGGCCATTGTAAATAATGCTGCAATAAACATAGGGTTACATGTATCTTTTCGATTTACTGTTTTTTTTTCCTTTGGGTAAATGCCCAATAATGGAATTACTGGATCATAGGGTATTTGTATTTTTAATTTTTCAAGGAACCTTTATACATTTTTCCACAGTGGCTGCACCAATTTACTTTCCCACCAGCAGTGTAAAAGGGTTCCTTTTTCTCCACCTCCTCAACACTTGTTTTTTCTGGTCTTCTTGATTTTATCCATTCTGACTGGTGTGAGGTGCTATCTCATTGTGTTTTGATTTGCATTTCCCTTATGATTTTTGATGTTGAGCATCTTTTCATGTGCCTGTTGGCCATCTATGTCTTCTCTGGAAAAATGTCTATTCAGGTCCTATGGCAATTTTTAATCAGATTGTTTGGGGTTTTTTGGTGTTAAGTTGTAAGAGTTCTTTATATATTTGGGATATTAACCCCTTATTGGGTATATCATTTGCAAATATCTTCTCTCATTCAGTAGGTTGCCTTTTTGTTTTGTTGATGATTTCCTTCACTGTGCAAAAGCATTTTACTTTGATGTAGTCCCAAAGTTTATTTTTGCTTTTGTTTCCTTTGCCTTAGGAGACATATCTAGAAAAATGCTTCTATGGCCAATATAAGAAAAATTACTACCTCTGTTCTCTTCTAGGATTTCTTTTATGGCTTCAGGTCTCACATTTAGGTATTTCATCCATTTTGAGTTTATTTATGTGTATGCTGTAAGGAAATGGTCCAGTTTCATTCTTATGCATTGTAGCTGTCCAGTTTTCCCAGCACCATTTATTGACGAGATTACCTTTTCCCTATTGTATATTCTTGCCTTTTTTTGTCATAGATTAATTGACTATGTATGGATTTATTTCTGGGCTCTCTATTCTGTTCCATTTTTGTGCCACTGCCGTACTGTTTTGATTACAACAGCTTTGCAGTATACCTTGAAATCTAGAATTGTGATGCCTCCAGCTTTGTTTTTCTTTTTCAAGATTGCTATTGGCTATTATTTGGCTATTGGTCTTTTGTGGTCCATACAAATTTTAATACTCTTTGTTCTAGTTCTATGAAATATGCTGTTGGTTTTTTTTTTTTTAAGATTTTTATTTATTCATTTGAGACAGAGAGATAGAGAACATAAGCAGGAGGAGAGGCAGAGGGAGAGGGAGAAACAGACTCCCCACTGAGCAGGGAGCCCAACATAGGGCTCGATCCCAGGACCCTGAGATCATGACCTGAGCCGAAGGCAGATGCTTAACCATCTGAGCCACCCAGGCGCCCCTGCTGTTAGTATTTTGATAGGGACTGCATTGAATTGAAAAAATGTTTTGTTTTGTTTTGGTTTTTTTTAAGATTTTATTTATTTGTGAGAGAGACAATGAGAGACAGAGAGCATGAGAGGGAGGAGGGTCAGAGGGAGAAGCAGACTCCCTGCTGAGTAGGGAGCCTGATGTGGGACTCGATCCCGGGACTCCAGGATCATGACCTGAGCCGAAGGCAGTCGCTTAACCAACTGAGCCACCCAGGCGCCCGAAAAAATGTTTTTAATTTGTAGAGTGCTTTAGGTAGAATGGACATTTTAACAATATTCTTCCAATCCATGAGCATGGAGTATCTTTCAATTTGTGTCATCTTCAGTATCTTTCATCAGTGTTTTATAGTTTTCAGAGTAAAGGTCTTTTACCTCTTTGGTTAAGTTTTATTCTTTTTGGTGCAATTGTAAATGGACTTATATTCTTAATTTCTCTTTCTGCTATTTTGTTATTAATGTATAGAAATGCTACTGATTTCTGGGTATTTTGTATCCTGCAACTTTCTGAATTCATTCATTACTTCTAGTAGATTTTGGGGTAGCCTTTAGGAATATCTACGTACAATATCATGTTATCTGCAAGTAGTGACAGTTTAACTTCTTTACCAATATGGATGCCTCTTATTTCTTTTGTTTGTTTGATTGATTGATTGCTGTGGCTAGGACTTCTAGTAGTATGTTGAATAAAAGTGGCAAGAGTGGACATCCTTGTCTTGTTCCTGATTTTAGAGGAAAAGTTTGCCGCTTTTCACCATTGAGTATGATGTTAGTTGTGGGTTTTTCATATATGGCCTTTATTATGTTGAGGTATTGTTGTGGTGAAATTTTCTTTCTTATTTCTAATTCTCTAAGAAAGGTAATTTTCATCTTTTTTTATAAGTTTATTTCTACAAAGACATATTTACTCAAAAAGAGAAAATGAACTTACGACTTTTTCTTTGGAAAAAACTTAATTTTCTTTATCTTCCCCATCCTTTACGAAACACCTGTTTAATTTGAAACTTATCATTTTTACCCTCTTGTAGTTTTCTTTTTTGTGTTTTAATAAGTGTAGATGTTAACAGTGGATATTTTCCCCTCCCCTTACTGGCTATCTTATTTCTGAAGAGTTAGTTTGGACATTAAATTGAAGTAAGGGTAAGTACATAAAAACATTTATAGTTACTGCCACCTTTTAAAAAAAAATGATTTCAAATATCTAATGGTCTGTAAAATGGATGGATTAGAACTTCAACTAATGAGAAATGAGATCTTTTCTGTTTTTCTTCCATTTTGGCATAATATTAGAAAAACAAGGGGCGGCCGGGTGGCTTAGTCGTTAAGCATCTGCCTTCGGCTCACGTCATGGTCCTGGGGTCCTGGGATCAAGCCCCGTGTCAGGCTCCCTGCTCAGTGGGAGGCCTGCTTCTCCCTCTCCCATTCCCCCTGCTTGTGTTCTCTCTCTTGCTATCTTTCTCTGTCTGTCAAATAAATAAATAAAATCGTTAAAAAAAAAAAAAAACAGCAAGATATCTGAAAAATAGGCTAGGAATCATGCATTTGGTAGATAATGTCCTAAGTTAGTACCTCTCAAATTTTTCCAGCCATACACTCTGATGACAGACAAGTGAACTCAGATTCCAGGAGACATGGGGTATTTACTGCAAGTATGAACTTCTTTTGTAGTCATATACTTAATCTTAAAAATTCATTCACATTTTACAGTCTACCCATGTCTGTTCTTTGTTAATTAATGTTTAAAACAAATAATAAATTATCACAAAGTTACATATTTGACTCTCAGAGTATTTATCTCAAGGATTCACGTATCCTCTGCAGACTTCTGTTTCCCCAAGGCCTGGGTATTCCCACTGCAGAAACCTGGCTCTGATCTCTCCTTTATTACAGGTATAATCCAGTTACCAAGAATGTGACTGTGAAGAGTGAGGGTGCTATTCAGGTCAACTTCACCCTTGTTCGATCTTCAGCAGATTCAAGCAATGAATCAAAGAAAGGAAAGGGGGATAGCACCAACACTGATGATGTCAGTGATCCAACTACTAAAGAGTTTGAAACTTTAATTAAAGACCTTTCGGCTGAGAACGGTTTGGAAGGCCTCATGTTACGGTCCTCCTCAAATCTGGCTCTTTATCGATACCATTCATACAAAGACTTATCAGAGTTTCTGAGAGGACTTGTGATGAACTACCCACACATCACAAATCTCACCAAGTAAGTACCACCCTCTCGCTGCTTTTCTTTCTTTCCTTTTTTTTTTAAGAAGTTACATTCAACATAAGCCATGTTGAATGGTTCTTGTAATTTATTTGGGAGCTGCATATAGAGAGAATTGGAGTTTACTTATTTTGAAACAGATATTGCTTAGAGATCTTTCTAACACTGACTCTGGAGAATTTTATGAGGAACATTGGACGAGAATTACTTGTTAGATTAGCAATGGATGGTCTGTGCCTCCTGGAAATGTAAAATTACTCTCCCTGATGATTATTTTGACTGAATTAAAAATGCTCTCCACTTCTCAGCTGCATATTCATGTCCTGACTGTTACTTAGTTTGTTTTATTTTGCTGAGGGCAAGGGACAGATTTGGAACTGAGAGCTCACCTGTCAGGGATCATTCTTTTTTTTCAAAATGAAAAGGAAGCCTGGTTTCTGTCATTTTCTGTACTCTAGTCTCTATTGACAGTTGCTATTCCCTAAAGACTTAGGGACAGTATGGGATTGAGGGTCCTGGAAAAATATGCAGTACTGGCTTAAGTAAAACTGATGCTGACTGTCTTCACTTTCTGTGGCTACTCTGCCTCACTTTCCCTGATTGTAAATCTTCTTTAGGTCTTGTTGCAGTTACTCGAAAATAATTTTCTTCATTTGTTGATTCCTATTGTCTGCCTATTGTGGGCTTTACTCTGCATTTTTCCCTGAGCTTTGTATTTTAGTTCTCTACCACATACTTAATGAACATTTTCTAGCCTTTGACATTTTTACTTCATTTTCCTTCATTGGTCCTTCTAATATTACCAGTACATTTAGCTTCTCAAATACTGGTTTATAATGTTCCTAGATGCAAAGAGTGATATCTCCTTTGGCAATACTCTTCCTCAACTGATTCTTGAATATTTCTGCCCAATTCAGGCTTTAATATTGTCCATCTTAGTGCCGTATAGAGCTTATAGACTTTCTTATTTTAAAGTAAACGAAAAATTGGACATTATTTTTGCTATCCATTACTTAGTTCATTTAAGTTTTTTTAACCTTCCAACTCAAGATGCACTTTTTAGTTAAGTATTTTCCCCCAAAATGCAACACCTGCCAGTGGTGAGACACAAGACAGTTTTAGGTGGTCCACCAATGGGCACTAAGTATCATTGAATAGAACCATGGGAAAACAATAATTTTTCTATTCTATTAACCCTTCTCAATTTAATGCTAATATTTTTTTCTATATAACTCTTGGAAATATCCCTTTGTATCAAAGAAAACGGGCCTTAAGCTCAGAGCTCTTGGGCAAGCACAACACTTTAAATGATTTTTGCTGCAATACTATTATTACATTTATAGTAAAGTATAAAGTATCTTATTTATGTAAATTAATTTACATTTAGAAAGTAAGGTTCTGTACATTTGTGTATATATAAATTCTTCCATAATAAAAAATTTAAGTGAATTAATTTAAAAAACATATGTTAGCTAAGTAGTAGTATTAAGATTATAGAAGGTAGGGCAAATATTGTGAAGATGGTATGAGAATGACTGAATTTGGAGGAACGGTGAACCCCATCATACTCTTTCCTAAATCTGATAATATCTCACTTGTATTTGATTTTCTTTGGCCAAGGAAAATTAATTTTCGGACACAATGATTCATTCTTTAAAGACTTTTAAAGGCTTTTTATGTTTGTTTTCATGTCTTTTTTAAAAATCTGTACGTCAACATTAACATAATGCTCGATTACTTCTGACTTTTTGTTTCTGATTTTTGAAAGTTTGGGACAGAGCTCTGAATATCGTCACATTTGGTCCCTCGAAATCTCCAATAAGCCCAACATATCTGAGCCCGAAGAACCAAAGATCCGTTTTGTTGCTGGTATCCATGGAAATGCTCCAGTTGGAACTGAACTACTTTTGGCTCTGGCAGAATTTCTCTGCCTAAACTACAAAAAGAACCCAGCTGTTACTCAAGTAAGAGAAGAGCCTGTTTTGACATGCTTTAGAAGGAAGAAGCTCAGTCACACACTGAGATGAATGCACCATTAAAAATTTTTTAGGGGCGCCTGGCTGGCTTAGTCGGTAGAACCTATAACTCTTGATCTCCGGGTTGTGAGTTCAAGCCCCACGTTGGGCCTAGAGCTTACTGTTTCCTGTTGGATTTTACACAGAGGCACTTTTAATGCATTACCACTTTAAAAACGGACCGTCTTTGTCTATACTCATTGTTAATAGTGTCTTTCTGTTATATTTCTTTGTGTGTAATTAAGAGGCATAGAAGAAAAAGTACTAAAGATTTGCATTCAATCCTTTACTCCTTTATTTAATAGTCAAATTACTCTTCCAGTCTTTACTAACCATTCTGTACATTATAACTTGAGGGACTTCCATTGCTAGTTACTTATAATTAGGATACTATATTGAAAATGAGGTGGAAGACAAATAGTTTTTCTTTTCGTTTAAGGAGTTCAGAATTATTGGACATCTTGGCTGCTAAGAGATTTTAGGAAAAGCAATATGGCATTGTCTACTTTAGCCACCCATGACTACAGAAAAGAACTTTGATCCAGAGGATTGGTCACTTATGATTGAGTAACCTAGTTCTGTGTTGTCTTAGAGAAAGGAAGGAGAGAGTGTGCATCCTTCTAGAGTACTCACTAATTGGCACTGTCTATATAGACTTTAGGAAAGGGGAAAGGAACTAATATTTGTTTAATACCTACTATGTGTCAAGTGCTTACACCAAGTACTTTACATGTATCATAATTTAATCCTCAATTTATGTTATCTTCATTTTATAGATGTAAAAACTGAGGCAGAGATATTTGATAACTTACAGGAGGTCACACAGCTAGTATGTGGTAAAACTGAGATTTAAACCCAAGCGGGTCTCATTGTAAAGTCTATGCTGTTTTGTTTTACCATACTGCCTCCCCTAAAAGAAATTTGGGGAGAATTTATGTCATGATTAGGATCAGAAAGCACCTATGGGATTAGGTGCGATGAACTTAAATCAGACTTGGCCAAAAATTATTTTACCATTTTCAGCAAAGCAAATTGTATTGATTACTTAATGTGAGTTGTAAGGAGTATCCCAAGGACATTTTTTTGTTCTTTCCTTAAAAAATGAGAGAGTATCTAGGATACTGGTTCTCAAGCCTGGCTGCACATTAAAAACATTTGGGAAGTTTTTAAAAATACCAATGCCTGGGCCCCATCCCCAAAGACATCAGTATTCCTTTAAAAGCTCCTTAGGGGGGGCGCCTGGGTGGCTCAGATGGTTAAGCGTCTGCCTTCGGCTCAGGTCATGATCTCAGGGTCCTGGGATCGAGTCCCGCATCGGGCTCCCTGCTCCTTGGGAGCCTGCTTCTCCCTCTGCCTCTCTCTCTCTGTCTCTCATGAATAAATAAATAAAATTTAAAAAATAAAAAATAAAAAATAAAAGCTCCTTAGGGGGCGTCTGGGTGGCTCAGTTGGTTAAGTGTCTGCCTTTGGCTTAGGTCGTGATCCCAGGGTCCTGGGATCGAGTCCCACATCGTGCTCCCTGCTCAGCCGGGAGCCTGCTTCTCCCTTTCTGCCCTGCTCATGCTCTTTCTCTTGCTATCTCTCTCTCTCAAACAAATAAATAAATAAAATCTTTAAATAAATAAACAATAAATAAATAAAAGCTCCTCAGGTTATTCTACTATTTGGCCATATTGCTACCTACTGATACTTTGGTTATAAGAGACTATATGTCCTAGGTAAAATACCTACCAGGAATTTCAAAACTTCTAGTTTATGAGAATTTGCCTCACTGGTCTAATTAGGCTTGAGCTAGTAATCTTACTCTAGATTGCCATTTGTTTCGAGATAAGTAAGGGTCAGAATTATCTGGCAAGTTCAAGAAAATATACACATACCCAGAGACCTGTAGCAAAGCCCAAGCATGTATATTTTAGAAAAAAATCTCTCTCCCAGGGGAGAAAGTTAAGAACCAATGAATTTAGGGTCTCCAATATTTTCAATCTATAGACTATTTTAACAGAATAAATAAGGCAGGCATCATTTATTCTGATTTACTATCAGAAATATATAGGATGAAGTATATCAGAATTTAGTTAATGCTGCATATGTAGGTATTGATGCCTATGGATTATCCAGAGGAGAAATTATTATGAGGAAGACAAATATCTACTTCATTTTTCTTGCTGATTTCAGCTTTTCTGTCTCATTGTTTCCAGACATACACTGATGTTTGTTAGACTACGAATTTCAGTTTCTAATCTGGAAAATATAGTCTATTATTATTGGTTTTAGCCAGTGGTCAGCAAACGTTTTCTATAAAGGGACGAATAGTATATATTTTAGGCTTTGTGGGACAGCTGTTCTGTGTTGCAACTATTCAAGTCTGCCATTGCAGCACAAAAACAGTCATATGAATGGGCGTGGTAGTGTGCCAATAAAACTTTATTTACAATAGCAAGCAGCTGGCTGGACTTAGCCTGCAGGCAGTGGTTTCTGACCCCTTTGTAAGTCATCAGGAGGTCTCTAGGAATATTAGTTGTGCAATAATTTTTCATTTCTTTTTAAATTTATTTGGAGCAAGAGAGAATTTTCTATCTATAATTTTCTATCTATCTATCTATCTGTCTATCTATTTTTAGTCCTACCTTTTAAGTCTGTTTAAAACAAGAAAGACTTTCTGTTTGAGGCATGGGAGGGTATCTTAGGATTCCACATAGAGCTAACTGATTTCTCTTTCTGTTTTAGCTGGTTGACAGGACTAGAATTGTGATTGTCCCTTCTCTAAATCCAGATGGGCGAGAGAGGGCACAAGAGAAAGACTGTACTTCAAAGAGAGGACAAACAAATGCTCATGGCAAAGACTTGGATACAGACTTCACAAGTAAGCCTAATTTTTAGGCCGTTAAAGTACTTTGCAGATAATCTTATTTTTCTTTACTAGGAGATTGATAGATTGTGTAGATGAGTAATGGGGTTACTTTCGTTCTAGGTTGTACATAAAAAGTATAAATGACAAGCTAGAAACTCGTCAAATTTTTCTCCTTTATCATTTGTAAAAGTAATTCAAGTTTTTTCTTAGAAATTCAATCAATAATATTGGAGGGGTTCCATCACTAGCCATACAGATAGGTATATTTTCTCTCTCTATCCCCCATATACATGTATACACATGTACACACGTGTACACACATGGTGTATGTGTATATTGATTTGATGGAGTCTTTCTTATTGACTTAAATAGGATCATCAACTATACATATTGTTCTGCAACTTTTTTCACTGAGTATATCACTGATATCTTTCCATTTCAGTACTTATAGATCTCTAACATATTCTTATTAATGACATCTTAGTATGCTGTTAACAGTCTAGTTTATTCAACAATTTTCCTACTAATGGACATTTAGTTTCTTTCTAATTTTTTGCTCTTGCAAACAGCACTATGGAAAACATCCTGATTTCTGAAAACTTTATTTTCTTTCAAAGATAGGTTATATATTCTCGATATTATTTTTTAAAAGAGGACATATCCATCCCTTTTTGTGTCTGATAAGAATTTTCTTAAATTTCCTTAGATCGTTAACCTTTGAAGTGTATAAAACTCAAGATAATCTGCCTTCTAGAGTGTATCTTTTATGCTGTTGAGATAGTGGCTTGTGGAGTAATAAAGTATTTATATACAGATTTTTTAAATTAGCTGCTGATTGTGTTCATGTACAGAATATTTTATTAGCTATTCATACTACAATTTTAATACTTGATATTTTATATTCGACTTTTATGTTTTTTAGATAATGCCTCCCAGCCTGAGACTAAAGCCATCATTGAAAATTTGATTCAAAAACAGGACTTCAGCCTTTCTGTTGCTTTAGATGGTGGTTCAGTGCTGGTCACATACCCATATGACAAACCAGTACAAACAGGTATGTAGAATGTCAGTTTATTATATAGTATTCAAGCTTAGATAGGAAATTCCAATTAGGTAATGTCCCTTCTAAATTTTTTAAAAATCGTGAGCATTTGCACACACTCCATGAGCAAATAACCAACGTAGGAAGGTTGTACATATATCAACAGCTTAGTTACTTGGAGGAGAGAGGTCAGATCTAAAGATGAGCTAGCTTTATTGCGTGTAGCCATCTTGTCACATTTGTTCAGTTTAGTTCACAAGCATTTATTGAACAATTATTATGTCTGTAAACATTGGGAATGCAAAAGTGAATAAGACACAATGCCTACCTCAAGAAACTCATTATTATATGTAACCAAATATTAACAATACAGAATTGCCCTCCCCTGCTTTAAACCTTGACTGACTGGTTGCACTTAAGATGAGATTAACAATTGCTTGTTGAATCTCTATGGGACCATTGTATATGGAGTTTGTGTTGTTTTCAGTGCAGCCTAAAAGAAATATTGTCATTAGGCCACAATTGCCCTAGAATGTAGTAAAACCAAAACAAGTTTGTATTTTAGTGTGGTAGGCTCTTGTGTAAACTAACCATTTTTTTTTACCTTTTAATATAAGGAAGATGTAGATCTTCTTTGTCTGATTATCCTGGACTAAAAAGAACCATGTAGTTAATTATAATAACTCCTCGATAAACTTCAGTGGGGTATAAGATTTACTAGAAGGAGAAAAAGATGACTTTTGTATCCATGAAGTTGAACTTGGAGTAAAATCTTTTGGATTTCTCCAACTTCTGAATTTTTCTTTTTATAGTGGAAAACAAAGAGACTCTGAAGCATTTGGCATCTCTTTATGCAAATAACCATCCATCCATGCATATGGGACAGCCCAGTTGCCCAAATAAATCAGGTAGGTATTTTCCATACCCCTTGTTATCATTGCTGCTTTTGGGGATAGAGGGTGTCTTACCTTAAGGTCTTGTTGATCCTGTATCTCTCGATGCTTTTATAGATGAGAATATCCCAGGAGGTGTAATGCGTGGAGCAGAATGGCATAGTCACCTGGGCAGCATGAAGGTATGCTCTATAGAATACAGTGAGAATAGAATTATAATTATTGGCCATTGAGCAACAGAATAGGTGACTTTTCTGATATAATCAAAGTGAATGGCATCTGCTTCATGGCTTTCTTGACAAGACAACCTTCAACCTCTGACAGCACTTTTTTTGTTTTGCCATTGTAATCATTTTTGTACAATTCAGTGACATTAATTACATTGAACTGTTGTGCAATCATCATCATTCTAAGCCATCTATTTCCAAAGCTTTTTTATCACCCCGAACAGAAACTGCAATCCGCTAAGCAGTAACTCCTGATTCTGCTGGTAAGCCCCAACTCCTGGTAACCTCTTTACTTTCTGGGTCTATGTTTTTGCCTATTCTAGATATTTCTTGTAAGCTGAATCATACAATATTTGTCCTTTTGTGCCTGGCTTCTTTCATTTAGCGTAATGTTTTCAGGGTTCATCTATTTTGTTAGCCTGTATCAGTACTACGGTCCTTTTTATGGCTGCATAATGTTCTATTGTATGTATATCACATTTTGTTTATCAGTTCATCTGTTGATGGACACTTAAGATGTGTCTGCCTTTTGGCTATTGAGAATAACAGGCAATGAACATTTGTGTACAATTGTAAGTTTGAACCCCTGTTTTCAATTCTTTGGGGTTGCATACCTAGCTGTGGAATTGCTGGTCATGTCCGAATTCTATGTTTAGCTTTTTGAGGAACCAACAAACTGTTTTTCACAGCAGCTGAACTGTTTTACATTCCCACCAACAGTCTATGAGGGTTCCGATTTTTCCACATCCTCACCAACGCTTGTTATTTTCCTTTTTATACAGCAGGTGTGAAGTGCTAATTCATTGTAGTTTGTTTTTGTTTTTTTTAATATTTTATTTATTTATTTGATAGAGAGACACAGCGAGAGAGGGAACATAAGCAGGGGGAGTGGGAGAGGGAGAAGCAGGCTTCCCGCTGAGCAGGGAGCCCGATGCAGGGCTCGATCCCAGGACCCTGGGATCATGACCTGAGCTGAAGGCAGACGCTTAACAACTGAGCCACCCAGGCGCCCCGCTCATTGTAGTTTTGATTTGCATTTCCCTGAAGACTAATAATGTTGAGCATCTTTTCGTGTGCTTATTGACCATTTGTATATTTTCTTTGGAGAAATGTCTGTTTCTCCATTGCCTGTTTTATTTATGTATTTATTTTTATTCCATTGCCTATTGGCCTATTTTTAAATTGGGTTGCTTGTCTTTTTGTTGTTGGGTTATAAGAATTCTGTATTTATTTTGGATGTTAAACACTTACCATTTGTTTGATTTGCCAGTAGTTTCTCCCATTATGTAGGTTGTCATTTCACTTTCTTAATAATGCCCTTTGATGCACAAAAGTTTTTAATTTTGATGAAGTCAAATTTATCTGTTTTTTCTTTCGCTGCTCATGCTCTTGTTGTCATATCTAAGAATTCATAGCCAAATCCAAGGTCATGAAGATTTACCTCCATGTTTTCTTCTATGAGTTTTATGTATTTAGCTCTTGTATTTAGATCATTGATATATCTTAAGCTGATTTTTGTATATGATGGGAAGTAGGGGTTCAACTTCGTTTTTTGCATGTGAAAATCTAATTAATTGTCCAAGCACCATTTGTTGAAAAGACTACTTTTTCCCCCCATTGAGTGGTCTTGGCACCCTTGTCAAAAATCAATTGACCATAGATGTATGGGTTTTTTTCTGGACTCTCAATTCTATTTCATTGGTATTTATATCTGTTCTTCTCCCAATATCCCTGTTTGATTGCTGTAGCTTTGTGGTAAGTTTTGAAATTAATAAGTGTAAGTACTCCAACCTTTTTATTTTTCAAGGTTGTTTTTGGCTTTTCAAGGCTCTTTGCAATTCCATTTGAATTGAGGATTGGTCTTTCTTTCTTTCTTTTTCTTTTCTTTTCTTTTTTCTTTTCTTTTCTTTTTTCTTTTCTTTTCTTTCTTTCTTCCCGTCTGTCTCTTTCTTTCTTCCCATCTGTCTCTTTCTTTCTGTCTTCCTGTCTTTCTGTCTTTCTTTTCAAAGAATGCTGTTGGAATTTTGTTAAGGGTTTGTTGAATCTGTAGATCACTTTGGGTTATATTGACATCTCAATAATATTGTCTTCCTCTTCATGAACTCAGTTACGTCTTTCCATTTACTTAGGTCTTCTTTAATTTCTTTTGGATAATATTTTAATTGGTTGTCCATCCACTTCAAATTAGTAAGGAGTTGTTAGCAGGTGGGTGGTTAGCTCATCATTTCATTAACATGTACAACTAGAAATTTGACCTCATTCTCATCTCTGCCTGCCTTCCCTCCTTTATTTACTAAGAACTTACTACGTGTGAGGCACTTTGCTCTACTAGTGATAAATAAAATGTATTTCCTATCCCACTGTACAAATAACTATGTTACAGAATTAATTGATTTGACCTCAGGGAGAGCAACTCTTAGTGTGCCATGAGAAATTAAAGACAGAAAAGATTACACCTAGTCAGAGATACAGTGTTCTCTTCATAGAGGAAATGGCATTTGGGATGTAGAGATGGTGAGGCAGAACATTCCAGAAAGAAAAACCAGTATGGGCAGAGGTCAATAAGCATTCTAGTTTAGTTAGAACAGGAGGTGTAATGGAGAGCAGCAGAAGACAAGAATGGAAAGAGAGTTTGGGGCTCTGAATACTTTGTTTTAGTAAGGAATGGGAAGCCACTGAAGGTTTGAGCAGATATATAGTAACATGATCGGAACTGTGCTGTGGAAAAATTAATCTCTCAGCAGTGGGTTAAGATAGTTTGGAGGAAAGAGAGACTGTGGCACAGGGAGACCGGTGTAGAATAGCCTAGTCAAGAAATAATGAGGGCCTGGATTAGGGTGGCGACAATGGGAATGGAGTCAAGGGATGAAGTTACAGCGATATTGCAGAGGTGGAAATGACAGGATTTGGCAAATTATGGATGATGGTGAGAAACTGAAGTCAAAGACAAGAGATTTCATGTCTGCGTGAGAACATGAGTTAATACCATTGACTGAATAAGGAAAAAGGACAGGTTTGGGGTGGGTAGGGGGAGGTGGTAAGTTAGGTTTTGGAACCCGTCCACACAAGCAGTTCCGGTGCCTGGAGAATTGCCCTCCGGGAGGCATTGGCTGCTGTCCCCGGCAGCGTGAAGGTATCAGAGGGCAGGTGCTTGAGCTTCTGCCTCCAGGCTCCAGGAACGGCTGTGAAGTTCCGGAGTCTCGAAGGAAGCTGCCCATCTGCATGCACTTATATATTCACTCACTTATTCAACAAACCCTAATAAGCCCCCTCTACCTGCCAGCCGCTGTGGCAAGCCCTGGAGATACAGCAATGGATTAGACCTAGTACCTGGTCCCAAGGACTCTCTTAGCAAGAGCCGTGTTTGTGACTGATGATAATACTGAGTGGTTCATTTGTATTGGCTATAAAATGCTCTACTGATTCTTGGTTTATATCCCCCAGGTTTTCTTTCTGTTCCATTCGTTGGATGACATAGCCTCCTCCTTATTTTTATTTATTACTTTTTCTACATCTGTCTTTGAATTTTATATTGCAGGATTACAGTGTCACCTATGGCCACTGCCCGGAAATCACAGTATACACAAGCTGCTGCTACTTCCCCAGCGCAGCACAGCTGCCTTCCCTGTGGGCGGAAAATAAGAGGTCTCTTCTTAGCATGTTGGTGGAGGTGAGCCTTTCCCTTCCAACTAGCAGCGCAGCCCAGCAGTATGTTCAACGAAAAGCTTTATCAAAACATTTCCTTAATCTTTTACCAATAATTTATACTCTTGTTTTTAAAAATATATATAGAGGGGCACCTGGGTGGCTCAGTTGGTTAAGCGACTGCCTTCGGCTCGGGTCATGATCCTGGAGTCCCGGGATCGAGTCCCGCATCGGGCTCCCTGCTCGGCGGGGAGCCTGCTTCTCCCTCTGACCCT